AATGTTTTAGTGGAATAAAAAAAATTTGCGCATCTTGCGTTGATCTGCAATTTTTTTGCGTTTCACATGCTCACCAGTCTTTTAGATTGCGAAGTTCACACTGGGCTGCCACTTTCTTCTTGCAGAAGGTATCAGCTCTGGCCCGAGACTGACGGTTGTTCTGCCAGTCAGTTAAAGCAGCGCGTTTATCATCGACGAGTACATTGATTTCCGGATCATTTTCATCAAGCCAGTCCTGGTGTATTCTTTCGATCTGGCCGAGGGTTTCTCTGCATTGGGATTTGGGTTTGTTGTTGGGTTGTTTATCAGCCCATGTTCGAGCTGCTCTCTGAAAGCATGTGCTACTGTTGGATCCTTTAGATGCTTAGTGTTAAAATCTCTTCTGGAGGCTTGTTTCCTTCACCGTTTTGGGGCGACGTGAAGTGAGAGCTTGGCTCTGACGAGCCTATGATCAATGTAGCAGTGATCTGAGCCATGCATGGCTCGGGTGATGAGGACATCTCGGCGATCTCTTTCTCTGACAATGATATAGTCAATGAGATGCCTGTGTTTGGATCGTGGGTGTTGCCACGAACCTTTGAACTTGTCAGCCTGCCTAAACAGGGTATTGGTAATAGTGAGATTGTGTGTAGCACACTTGCTGAGGAGGAGTAAGCCGTTGGAATTACACTTGCCTAGTCCATTTCTCCCTATGACTCCATGACAAATGTCATCGCTGCCAACTCTGGCATTGAAGTCACATAGGAACACAACCTTATTTTCTCTGAGGATGGAGGTTATCACTGTCAAGGTCGACGTAAAAGGCCTCCTTGATATCATCCTCTGCATCCAGTGTTGGGGCGTGTGCACTGATGAAGAAGGCATGACGTGAGTGATTCCGTGGGGCTCCGAGCGTCATGAGGTGCTCGTTGATCCCAACAGGTATTTCAGTTAGCCTGTGTAGGATGCATTGGCTGATGGCAAAGCCAACTCCATAAATGCTGTTTCTCTCCGCAATAGCCTTACCCTTCCAGAAGAAGGTATAGCCAGACCCCCGTTCTGTAAGTAGGCCGTCATCTGCAAGCTGGCTAGGTATAACTAGGTATAACTCGTACTATGTTATATCTCAAGGATTCTTTTATGCCACCTTAAATGTTATGGCTAAACAATAGCCCAACAAAATTGCCCCTGCATATTAGCACCGGTGACATTATTAAGTCAGGTTTAGATAGTCTAAAATTTTACCCAGACACTACAACAAAATATGTAATCTTAGCTTGAGACAGAGATGATCTTGACCACAGGGCAAAGATCTTTTTATTCCATTATAACCAGGGCCGGTTCTATTTTCTGAGGGGCCCTGTGCAAGATTATAATGGTTTGGGGCCCCCATTCCTTAGACGACCCTCTCATGGCTTCCCTCCCATCGTGCCCAGTTCCTCACCTACATACAGTATATTCCTGAATTTCTGAGAACATCATCTTGATAAAAGAAATCAGGACGGGAAATCAGTACCAGTGCCAGATTTTATAGACAAACCGCCAAAGCCCAGACTTACTGGCACTTGATGGTTGAAACGCACTTGCCTGCAGTTTTGAGATGTGCACGCCATACAACACATCAGAATTGAAATACGAATCCTACTAAACAATAAATATATTGTATTCAGGAAGGGGTCTCGTAAGTGATGGAGGCCCTGTGCAGCCGCACATAGCTGGGGCCAGGCCCGATTAGAACCTCCGATAACTGGTTGGTGATCATTCTTCTAATACGTCTTATACTCAGAAGAAATAAACTAATGGTTTTCTGAAGGTTCTGGAACATCTAAATGGTATGAAGTGAGCTGATACTCTTGCCAGGTCTTGCTTTCTCGAGTGCGTCACGTTTCGGCTTCGTCACTAGGAGATAGGATTTCCTCATCACGCCGAAATACAATCTCTGACTTTCTATAGTACTTCGGGTGGGTCTTTCAAGTGTACTTTTAACAACTCGAACGAATTACTATGTAGATACGGAAGCATTTAATCAACTGAATAATCTATTGATTTGTATGAAAAATATGTGCATTTATATTTGCAATTATCGCGTTACTTTTTGAGACATTTACTCCCAAAACATGAAATAAGTCTTAAAATTTATATAACTTTTCAACGTTGTCATGAGGTAATAACACATTTATCTTCTACGGTGAAATTTAATACAGTAGGTAGTTTAAGGCACGTAACTCATCTGGACTATTACTACAGATTTTTGCAGACGTACACGTAGTACACTAAAGAGAGAAAAGAAATATAACACGAAGAACAAAATATAACTATGAAAAGACTAGTCACAAACATGAAAGCTATTCTCGAGTGTTTTTCAGGTATACCAACAGAAAAAAAGTAATATGCAGCAGTGTTAATTGATACTGATTTTGATTTCGGCATTTATTAATTCTTAGTTCACCGTTTTTATGATACAAGAAATTTTTTTTTTATTTTGATAGGGGAGGATAGGGTACTACAGATTCTCTTTACTTTCAATCGCCACTGCTTGAACATGCCCAGTGAAGACGGTCAAGCAAGGGTTCTCAGCATTACCGTACAGTATATTACAGTAATCGGCCACAAGGCCCACACTACAAACAAGAAATTAGTAATGGCCGCATCCATCACACAACGTAATTATGTAATATGTATTGAATTAAAAAAATAAAACGTGAAAATGGCCATTTTGAAATATAGAACTAATCCATATACACTATTCAGACAAGTACTCGTATTGATTGACATTGACCGACCTCGTCTGCTGTATCAGTTATGTATTCTTGCATTACCATTTACAAGGAAAAAAAATAACGTTTGAACCTCCAAGAATCCGTGGGTGTTGTAGCTTAAGTCGGTTACTATGTTCTAATATATATGAATACGACAAAAAAATATCGTACGAAACTTCAAGAATCCCACTTCCTTAAACTGAGAACGTGTATTCCAATAATTTTATCTGGACGAATATTTTCATGTCATGTTCTGTGTACAAAAGGCAAACTTAATGTTCTTAAAAACACCATCATATTGGAGTTACGTTCTCAGTTTAAGGATAACTCTGGCTGACGACCTGATGAGGAGGAACTTTTCAGGGATAATGACTAGTCAGTGGGTTATTTAAAACGCAGTTCCATAGATTACTATATCTAGCTGCAAAGGATTGTTTATTTCTGTTTAATGATAAAAAACATAGAAAAGTTTATGGTGTAACAATGGGAAGTACACTTAGACCAACCCTTGCTAATGCCTTTCTTTGTTTCTAAGAAACAAAATGGCTCAGCAATTGTCCTCCCGAGTTTAAAAAAATTTAAATTAGACCCGTTATGTACAAATTGTATGTTAATGACACTTTTTTCTTTGCATCTGAGCAAATTTCCCTCTTTTTAGAACAACAGCAAGAGAGCTAAATTAAATTTTATATATTATTTTATTGCCTCGGAACAGTTCTACCCTTTTGGGAGCCCGAAGCAGGATTTTGTTGGGGCCCCCTAATGCAGCCCGCCTCCACTCTACCGTATAGTATTCAAATCCATATAAGCCTAATTATTATATATAAGGGTATCAGTATCTAAAAGCACATATAAACAATACACATAAGCACGAAAATATGTGTAAGTGGCAAAGTTTTATTGGATTACCAAGAGGCAGTCAAAACAAGGCCCATCTTACAATACGGCTCAATTCTGTCTTTTCTTGCCTTCCTGGAGGCAAAGTCTTCTATATCTTCACCATAAGACAGTTAGGAACAGTTATCATCAGAACAGTCGATCTAAAAAAAACCCTGAGATCAAGGAACATTGTGTGGGGTTCCTTATGGCATTTGAATCAAGTCTTGCTTGGTTTGTCCTCTTTGATTCTGAATGTGATGGTTAACTGTGCCATTGTATCTCTGGACGAGCGATTCATGAGTCTTGGGGAAGTGATAAATTAAGCTTAGAGTGCTTCCAAATTTTAAAAATATGGACGAAGAAGCACTGAGAGAGCAATGTGAGATGCTTGGGGAAACTCTCACTTGCAGAGACGAAGCTGATGTTGAATGGAAACACCTGGGGCGGGCATGGAAATCCAGAACCTTCCAAACCTAAAACATGACATGACAGCATTGGAACTGATCTCTTTCATTCACTATAGTAGCTGAAAGAGTTGTACCCGAATCTTTGCGTAGCCTTAAGAATAAGTAACGCTCCCCCAGCTACGATGAGTCAGCAGAGAGCAGTTTTTCCAAGCAAGCTCATAAAAACTTACTTGAGGTTCAAGCACCATATCTCAAGGCGCCTCAGTAGATTAACCATAGCCTATAAGCTTTAATTTGGACATACAGTCAGGTTGGTTGAAAATTAATATCTAATGTAATGCAACAAAACTATTACCCTACCTTTTTATTTGAATTAGTATAAGCTAAATATAACACAATTGCCCCGAATAGTCTGTTATTACGAGCAGGAAAAGTATACAAACCGCTGACACGGACTTTCGACGTCATAAACGCATGATTTTCGCATTGACATATTGGTGAGAGCTTTGCGCGTTACCGCTTTACCACCAACACCCCAAAAGAAACTTGCCCCGAGTATATAAACTTGTCTGGTGTTTTTGATAAGTTACCACTTTGTTATGATCGGAGGAATTGCTGTTACTAATTAATATTTCATAAACAAAATATTTTCCTGTTAAAGACAACATCCCGCTCTCCTAACACAGACTTAAGGAAAAGAAAGTAGCTTTCATAACAATGCAAAGAGTATAACTAATATCCATCCGCACTTTAGAAATAAATTGAGATTGAAGTGCAAATGAAAGCTATCAAACACATATACACCGATAGTCTTTTCAAATCATATACACAAACTCGAAGTTGGTATTTAACATTTACTTTTATTTTACAAATATAACAAGCCTATGTTTCTGTTATACAGTCATGAATTCATATTTGTACAGAGAGTTTTGGTACCAAAAATGGGTATAATTTAGAGGAAAAGGAAATAATGCTGTTATATGATTTGTTTTATGTGTCCTTGACATTGTTACTATCATAAAAGTGGACAGCAATGTACAAGTAAATTAAAAAGTGTGAATCAAGCATATTATATGCACACATAATAGTAAGTAATGTCCATTTAATTCTGTGGTTCACGTAACTGAAAAAAACCATTCGATGTTGTTATTAAGTAGCTGAAGGTGGGGCACCATTCAACAGTCCACTTTACCATCCACCCCCATAGCTGCTTCCATAGTTGCCACCATGACCACCACCATGACCACCACCATGACCACCATGACCACTACTTCCTGAACTAGTGTGACGACCAACAAGCTGGGCACGGACAATACTGGGTCCTTGATGTCCACCCCGGGAGCCACCACCAGTCCCGTAGCCACCAGTGCCACCAGTTGTACTGGTGTGTCGTCCAACAAGCTGGGCGCGGACAATACTGGGACCTTGACGTTGACTTCCATAGCTGCCACCAGTACCGTGACCACCACTGCCACCAGTTGTACTGGTGTGTCGTCCAACAAGCTGGGCGCGGACAATACTGGGACCTTGACGTTGACTTCCATAGCTGCCACCAGTACCGTGACCACCACTGCCACCAGTTGTACTGGTGTGTCGTCCAACAAGCTGGGCACGGATTATACCAGAGCTGCTGCCTCCACCACTAGAATAGCCACCCTGGCTACCAGTGCTGAAACCTCCAGTGCTGCCACTATGGCCGCCACCATGACTTGTCCCTCCAGTGCTGCCACCATAGCCCCCTACTGGACGGCTGCCTCCAAAGTGACCAGGATCAGCCACCACAGCTAACACAAGAACTGCCATCACTACCTGAAAATAATATATTGTTCAGGACTACTGTCATCATGAATGTGTTCGCCCTACGAAAGAAATATTTATGTTGAAGCCTACCATGATAATGCCTCAATATAATATGTAGGTATCTCTGTGATTTTGCGTATCGATAAGAATATAAATGAGTGTATTTCTGAGTGTGTGTTTCCATATATCTGCATGGCTATGCTTAGATGATTGTGTTTATATAGATATGCCTCCGTGTGTACAATTTGTAAGTGTGATAGAATTATGAATAAGAGGAAGAGTGCACAGATAATTAATTTAATGAGACTCACAAGTGCGCTAAGGACCCTCATGATGTCTGGAGTACAACAGGAGCGTCTTCCACACCAGCAGGAACAGTGATGTGTGTGGACTGGCTCTGCTCATTCTCCTTCGGGTATTTATAGTGACGCATTCCTCCCCCCACCCTCCATATCACTTAGTTGCCAGCTACCTCAATAACAATTCTTTATGATGGGTCACATGGAGCCAAGTCGTGATCGTGGGAAGGTCGATAACACCTTGTATGGCGTGGAACGGCTGAAGACACTATTGTGGGCAACAAGTCAGGCTCCTTGATGAACTAACCTCTTCCGACGGCCTTCCTTGTACAGGGAAATGATAATCAGGGATTCAGGGGCCAGCCACGTACCCCACGCTCTCTTGGCCCCGTTACTGTAATACACCTGTGGAAACCTTGTGCGGCAACAGCAATAATTATGAGCTCATCAATGATCTCCGAATTTTGGGTGTTTTCTGTTTTTGTCCGTTTTTTTTTCATACACCTGAAAATAATATTTGGCAAGAGTTTTTCTGCCTTACTATAGGAAATGTTACCTGTAATGTTATACAAGTGCGGATCAACTTGAGATGACCAACAGTTGTTCTGGCTAGGCCTTACCTTGAACCAAGGTTAAGAACCTGCTTGAATACTCATCCCATCTTTTACTTCAAAAAGAAAGAAAAACATTGTCATGCCTCATTTCATTTGTGATAAGAACTATAGGTTTGTCAGGACAGAACACGCGTAACATTAATCATTTAACTGGTATACTATGAAAAATAAGCGAAAATTTATGACATTTAATGATGGTCTATAACGTTTCTTTTGTTTATTTCACCAAATCATCCAACTGATATGAACAAAGTTGTTTATTTGCTACATGAGAAGATTACGAGTGTCATTTTTAGTTACACAACGGTGTTGCCCGAGTTATTCTTTTGCGTTGTATTTCTTTGTGTTACGCTGAGTTGGGATAATTGCGATTTTTTTGTTAACCTCTGACTGGCCATAGACGATCATGCAGAAAATCTTTTTTTTTTGTTTACCCTATCAACACTTCCCACCTTACTAGTCGCTCGTGCGGTTGGTCTGTTCATTGTTACTTTGTTAAGATTTTTAATTTTTTAATGTTAATATAGTGAGCTCTTTCAAGACCAGACTTGACCAACACTGGAGCAGGTTCATATACATTCAGGAGCCATTGTATGCCCAGTACTTGCCAACAGTGCGTAAGAGACGTCACTGACCGCCAAAGCGGCTAACGAGCCGATCAATGGCTAAGAGGATAAAAGTAAAAGTTGGAGGAAACTAGAGTACCCGGAGGAAATCTGTGATGTTTCCTACGGTCACACCAGATAACACCGTTCCCACGTCTGCCCCAGGTCAGGATTCGACCCAAGGATATATTCTTGAGAGATGTGCGTGTTACCACTGTACTACCAATACCCCGAACATAATTCATGTAAATAAATAGCTTCATACATAATTCTAACCTTACCTGAACCACTTTAGTTACAATTTAGTTATCTTATGGTGGTAAACGACGTCTTAATGAAACACAGGAAATTTACCATATTCGAATTAACTTCCATTATATATATATATATATATATATATATATATATATATATATATATATATATATATATATATATATATATATATATATATATATATATATATATATATATATATATATATATATATATATGTGTGTGTGTGTGTGCGGAATAATGCGAGCTAATTTCCATTAAGTAGTATCAATAAACACTAAAGCAATCCTTATTTAGTTGTATTTTAAATGTTAATCGGCGATTATCCGTATTAAGCGTGACAATCACAACTACCCTTACTTCTTATAAAAATAATTTGCTGTCACTCAGAATCGAGTATGGCGATCATCCAGCTACGATACAATGATATGAGCTATTAAGGATGTCACCTTTGGTGAGCTCTGAGGTGACTCGAGAGTCCGATACGGGACCAGCAGGGCCATCCACAGATGTTGCACGTGTGGAGGGCTACATCTAGTGCGGGAGGGGCAGAGGCAACGTCTTTCCAGCGCTGGCGCTTGTCTGCCTAGGTATGCTGTCGGCCTAACTCGAAAGTATTGACACCTCGTGTCGTGCTCCTCCAAGCGTTACGGTGTGGACACACACACACACTACTACTACTACTACTTTTATTTTTTATTTTTTTTTTTGGGGGGGGGGAGCACCTTCGCCGCCATTTTATAACTTTAAAATTAAATATCCTAATACATAAGTAGCTACCCTAGCCGTGTTGAGTTAGTTGAGCTGCAGATCTATGCGGCATTCAGTGACTGTTGCCTCAAAGTCAATATCTGCGACTTGTCGGCTTTGGGGCCGATGATCTTCTTCCCTTGAGGCAGAGCAATGCAGACCTAAGCAGAGAAAAGGACAGTCGGCATCTCAACCAGGCTGTGACTGTGACGTAACTTCTGAGCTGCTTCCGTTCAGATAACACCTCTGCGAGTCTGGCATAGAAACATCTTGCACTTGGTCCCATCTCACCAGAGGTTGTGAACACCAGAGGAGTGAAGCTGCCCTAATCAACATTCAGAATTCTCTCCCCATATGCCCTGATCTTGTCATTCTTGTTCTTCATGTGTGCAGCGTCGAGATCTAAGTTACGGTGACATGCAGCCATGGGGTCGAAAATCCTTATGCCAAAGAAGGCTCGCTGTCCCCGCGTCCAGAATACTCGGGCACTGACGTCCACACGGGCTTCGTTGGATGTGTTTGAAGTCCTGTGACGGAGGTTCTCATCGTCCAATGGAAGGAGGGGCTGTTCCACCATGACGTCGTGGCAGATTTCCTTCAGTAAATTTGCTGTCAGGTCCCTTCATCATGCCTCATGCATACGAAACCCCTTTTCTTACACACCATGACGTGGTCGATGTCGTAGGATGAGCCACACACGCATTGGGAGGGCAATTCTTCTACTGGCCTACCGGGCCTTAGAGCAATGGCATCTGTGAATTCTTGTTTATTAAGGATGAAGCCTTTTGGCCTTATCGGTAAGGTTGTTAACCAGTTTGAGGAGCCTACTCTTTATTTTCAAGTACTCTGACGATCATCCAGCTAAGATACAATGATATGAGTTATGAAGGATGTCACTTTCCAATTTGAGTTTTGAGGTGACTAAAGAGGCCAAGCGCCAGGGCTGGAAAGACGCTGCCGCCGCCCCTCCCGCACTAGATGTAGCCTTCCACACGTGCAACATCTGTGGACGACTCTGTCTGTCCCGTATCGTATTGACACACACACACACACACACACACACACACACACACACACACACACACCGTTCACGGAAATTGGAATAAATCGACATTAAATTTATGAATACAAAATTTACAAAAAATTACTTGAATGCTCACACGTCAGACAAACTCTTCGTCAATCTCCCGTGACGAGGGGCGCCAGCCAAGAACCCTGGTGGTATTCCCACTTTGGATCTTACTACAGCAACACTAGAGTAGAATAAAGTAGCTGGATGTCCCAGATCTCTCGTGACTTCACAACCCAAGAGTCTTTAACCCCAATGAGGTGAAACAATGTCTTAATGCTTCAAATTTTGCTGAGACTCCTTGAAACTCGCTACCCCTTACAGTACACGTTGAAGCAGTAAGTGGATTGTGCTGAAGTGATTAAATGGACTGAAGTGAGTTGATGGGTTGAAGTAAGTGTATTGGCGTTAGGAGATGGGTTAAAGGGAGTGGATAATTTGGAGGAATTGGGTAAGTTAACGGAAGTAGATGGGTGAAGGAAGTAGATGGTTGAAGGGAGTTGATGGGTGAAGGAAGTAGATGGGTGAAGGAAGTAGATGGTTGAAGGGATTAGATGGGTGAAGGAAGTAGATGGTTGAAGGAAGTAGATGGGTGAAGGGAGTTGATGGGTGAAGGAAGTAGATGGTTGAAGGGAGTAGATGGGTGAAGGAAGTAGATGGGTGAAGGAAGTAGATGGGTGAAGGAAGTAGATGGTTGAAGGAAGTAGATGGGTGAAGGAAGTAGATGGTTGAACGGAGTAGATGGGTGAAGGAAGTAGATGGTTGAAGGAAGTAGATGGGTGAAGGAAGTAGATGGTTGAAGGGAGTTGATGGGTGAAGGAAGTAGATGGTTGAAGGGAGTTGATGGGTGAAGGAAGTAGATGGTTGAAGGGAGTTGATGGGTGAAGGAAGTAGATGGGTGAAGGAAGTAGATGGCTGAAAGTAGATGGCTGAAGGAAGTAGACGGGTGAAGGAAGTAGATGGCTGAAAAAGGTCGATGTGTGAAGGAATTAGATAGTTTAAAGAAGTTGATGGGTGAAGGAAGTAGAAGGGTTGATGGGTACTCCATTAGAGTGGATAACTGCCCTCTCTACATGTTAATTCATATTCTACATGAACGATGGTTATATTAGAAGAAACCAGTCAGCGAGAGTGGTTGTGTACAGAACTTTTATGGCGTTTAACGTGAAGTTGACAGTGTGTCGACACTCGTACGGGTAATGCAGTGTGGTCGGGGATGTTCTCGGTCGCTTTCACTTCCCACACTGAATAGACAGGTATTAATTCATAGCTTGGTGAACTTAGGGTGCCCTGGGTGTGAACCAGCTGGTCTGTAGGCAGGAGGCTATAATGATGTTTGCGCTCGGTAGCCGCACACCTTATATTTTACGCAAAATGAGGCTATTACAGGCCTCACGAGAGGTGAAGTCTCCTACCACACTCCCGTACCATTATTTGGAGACCTTCAACAGAAACACTCAGTCGCTACCTATACAACAGTAGCAATCATTCTTAATGATGCCTCGGAGGCTCGGCTTATCTTGTATTCCTCAAGGTTTGTTTGGCTTTTGCCATTTCATATCGCTTGGGGCAGGGATGTTCTTTGCATAAAGATAGGTTAATTATTACTGTAGTTACTCTTCTATAACGATCTGTTTACTACAAAGATTCTGGAATTCCTAACTGGAAGTTAGCGTAAGGCCGCAAAAAAAATCTTCCCGGCGAGTATTGCTATAGTATATTCTTCTCTTTCCCTTCCATTTATCTTTTTCTTCCTCCTTTACATATTTCATGCCCTCTTTCCT